TATACGAAGCCACCCGTTGAATGTGGTTGGACTATATTCTCGGGGATCTCTCTCCGAACTCCGCAAATCATCTGTTTTTCTGTGAGTGACACTTCATCAAAGAAATTTGGTTATCTTGAAACTGGACTCACACAAAATCCCATAATAAAATCCCACAATGAAGGACACTAACAAGGAGCCAAGATCTTCAAGAACAGTGATACTAACTCACTGTATACCACTGTTAACAAGAAAATTAAGGTCCAGTTCTGGATAGAGAACATAGGGCATGTGAGGGATTGTCATTGTTGGGAAAAGTTTATTCTCAGGTCTGGAAGTGAACCCAGTGCATCAGTGCAACATGGCATCCTGCAAAAAGAGGAACTAATATATGTAAATGTTTTATTGATGTTTAAATGTTTGTAAATTCTGTGGTTGACTTTACTATAGGCCTATTGACTCCGGGCTGGACAGTGGAGGCGGCATGTGGACAGTGTGGTTAGAATGGAATCAAGACGCCATTACGAAGAGGCAGAATGGCGCTGTCCTACCGTTGCTTTTCTGGGCTGCTGGTAGTTTTTGGAGGGGGGTAAACAGGGATATTTGCCCTAGGGTAGTGAGGGCCAAATGAACATTTAAATATGGGAAATCAGTTCAAAAGAAAAGTAATTTTACTTGTGATGATGACGATGAATGTAACGGAAAGCTCTATCTTATTTAACTTTAAGGCAAAAAAAAACGTACAGTATGTGCTCTAGATCAACTTCCCGTAAAGGGTGGTGTTGCTGATTAATTTTAAGGTCTTATAAAATACATCTCACTAAATTCTACATGACTGTATTCTCGGAAACTAACAACAAACACCAATTTTGCTTCGGAGATTCTCCTGTTTGTCATATGTTTTAACTGTGAACATTTATTTTTAAGTTATATGTTGTCAATAAAGATCAGGTAAAAGAAAAATATGTCATCTTTATTAATTTTGTATAAACAAAGCTAAAATAACATTGTATGATCTCATTTTCTCCTGGATCAATTTCTTTTTTCATATTTTATCACTGTATTTTTCAGAAAGCAAGGTTTGCTACCCTGCCACGACTTCTGTCAATATTATCTCACTCTGGCCTTTTGCCTGTGGCCCCAAGTGAACATCCCAGTACATATCAAAGCTTTCAGCCTTGACAAGAGATGAAAAAAAGAAAAGAAAGACCAAGGCCATACAGCTTGTTAGTCCACCTATATCAGACAGATGCATGTTTAATTTCTCCATGCCAGCTGATGGATCAAACCCCAGGAGTTCAACAGACGGGCAGGTTAAATGATATACGGCCACTGTGCAGTATTTAAGGTACTAGCTTTGAGACAACAGTGGAAATTCTGTTTGAGAGATGGACCTCGCAAGGGAGAAGTTCACATGATTAAACTGCAGCGCAAAGTGTCTGTGTATAATCCAAAAGACAGCCCATCTAGTGCCCTCCATCCTGAGAAGACTTAACTTCATATGTAAAAGGTACAAAATAATGCTCTGCTAATTTTCTAGATTCAGGAAAAAGTAAATTTATTTGAATATTTATTAAATCTTTTTACCTTTTTATACCTTTGAGGCAAAAATGTATACTGAAAAAGAGGTCGTTGTGGTTAAGTGCTGGAAACCTGTAGTTCTGGGTTTCATAACCCATCAATAAATGTGTGAAGTCTGGAAACAAAAAGGTAAGAGAGCACTCATAAGCAATGCAGGACATGACAGGGACCCAATCTCTCAACTTAGAAGATATGTCATCAAGTCAAAGTCAGAGGCTTGGTGAAATCTCTCAATCACTACAAACATGTACTTTTACGGAAAATACAAGTCTGGACCTGGAGCAGGATATTGACCCGGACAATAACTTTTTTGCTAGCATGGATGAAAAAAACTGTGCATATTACACAGATGACATGCTCAACCAAACCAGTTTTAAAGATAACCTTTCAGTGATTCATGTTAATAGTAGAAGTTTGTATGCAAACTTTGAGCATTTAAAACACTATTTACAGAGCATTGAGCAGCGCTTCAATGTAGTAGCAATTTCTGAAACGTGGATAACTAATGCAAAGGATGGAAATTTTAAGCTGGATGGGTATGCGTTTGTACACATGGACAGAAAAAACAAAGGTGGTGGTGGAGTTGCATTGTTTGTTGACACAAATCTGAATTTCAGTATTGTGGAAAACATGACTTTAGTAATAGATAACATGCTTGAATGCATTACAATTGAGATTCACAAAGAAAAAAGCAAAGATATTATTTTAAGTTGTATTTATAGAACGCCAGGCTCATGCATAGACCAGTTTTGTGAGACTTTTGAGGCACTATTTGCCAAAAAAGCAATGAAAACGTTAATAGTGTGTGGAGATTTCAATATTGATCTCCTCAATCCTAGCAAACATAAAATGACGGAGCGTTTTATTAATACTATCTATAGATTAAGTTTATATCCAAAAATCACTTGACCCACTCGAATTACATCCCACAGTGCTACATTAATTGATAATATTCTAACAAATGATATCTTAAAGGATACAATAAGTGGACTGCTTGTGTGCGATATAAGTGACCATCTGCCAGTGTTTGTAGTTTTCAGTAACAAATGTGAGTATTATCAAAAAGAGCAAGCCATAAAATATAAAAGAATAAGATCAGAAGAAACACTTAATGCCTTTAAATTAGACTTAATGGCGTACAACTGGGAAGGGGTTTACACAAAGATAAATGTGGACGATGCATACGATGAGTTCATAAAAGTATTCCGAACACTGTATGACAAGAACTGTCCCTTGAGGAGAGTAAATATAAACTTACAGCAAAGAGGTCAGCCTTGGATTACAAAAGGGCTACAGAACGCATGCAAGAAAAAAATAATTTGTACAGGAAATTCATTAGATTAAAAACTGAGGAGGCCGAATGTAAATACAAAATATATAAAAATAAGTTAACAAATATAATACGAACTGCAAAGAAAGATTATTACTGTAAATTATTAGACAATAACAGAAGCAATGCTAGAGAAATATGGAAAATATTAAACAATGTTATAAAGAAGTCAAAAGGCCAGATCTCATATCCAAGGTACTTTATGGTAGAAGGTGTGAAAAACGAAAATATGCTGGAAGTGGCAGATTTATTCAACAAGTTCTTTGTTAATATTGGAGTAGACTTGGAGAAACAAATCGAAAGGGTGGGAAATGATCCATCAAGTCAAGCTACAGTCGAAAGAAATCTGAGTTCTATGTTCATTGATCATGTTGATGAATCAGAAGTCGTAAGCACTGTTTTAAAATGTAAAAACAAAACATCTCGGGATTGTAATGATATTGATATGACTCTAGTGAAACGTGTTATTGAAGGGATTTCTAAGCCACTGACATACATCTGTAACTTATCTTTTCAATCGGGTGCATTTCCTGATCAAATGAAGATAGCTAAAGTGATCCCTTTATATAAATCTGGAGACAAACATAAATTCACTAATTATCGACCAGTATCACTGCTTTCGCAATTTTCAAAAATATTAGAAAAAGTTTCCACTGTCAGATTAGATGCATTTGTAGAGAAAAATAAAATACTTTGTGAAAGTCAGTATGGGTTCAGGTCAAATAGGTCAACGGCACTGGCATTATTAGATTCTATTGAAGAAATAACAAACTCATTGGATAAGAAAATGCACACCATTGGAATATTTCTTGACTTACAAAAAGCATTTGATACCATAAACCATAACATTTTAATTGACAAATTGGAAAGATATGGTATAAGGGGGACGGTTTTGGACTGGGTAAAGAGTTATCTGTCGAACAGGAAACAATTTGTGAAACTGGGGGATACGTGTTCAGAGTACCGGGATATTTGTTGTGGTGTACCACAGGGGGCAGTGTTGGGACCAAAATTATTCATACTTTATATAAATGATATAACAAATGTGTCAAAGGTACTAAAGATGGTTTTATTTGCTGATGACACAAATGTTTTCTGCTCGGGGAGCAGCATTCCCTCAGTAGTCCATAACATTAATAATGAACTGATAAAGATGAAACAATGGTTTGATAGAAACAAATTGTCATTAAATTTAGGGAAAACAAAGTTAATTATTTTTGGGGGTTCGCAAGGCAGGGATAAAATTGAAATCAGATTGGACAACAAAATAATTCAACAGGTAACTGAAATGAAATATTTAGGAGTGTTAATAGATGAAAAACTTAACTGGAAATCGCAAATCGGATATTTGCAGGGGAAAATTTCAAGGTGTTTATCTGTGATAAATCAGGCCAAACAATCGGTTAACAAGGAAGCGTTGCACACGCTTTACTGTTCACTGGTGTTGCCGTACTTCACATATTGTGTAGAAGTGTGGGGAAATACCTATCAGACATCACTAAGGCCATTGGTTGTGTTACAAAAGAAAGCAATAAGGATAATACACTCTGCAGGTTATAGGGACCATACCAACCCACTTTTTGTGGAATCTAAATTACTTAAGTTACAGGATATCGTTACACTATCAACAATTCAGATTGTGTTCAAGGCAAAAGAGGGTAAGTTACCTAGAAATATACAAAAGTTATTTATACAAAAGGAACGAGGGCACAATTTACGGGGTTTACTTAACTATAGGACCATAAGGGTGAAAAGTAAAAGGAAAAGTTTTTGTGTTTCTGTTCAGGGAGTGAAACTGTGGAATAGTTTGGATATGCGAGTGAGAGAATGTCAAAATGTAAGAAGGTTTAAAAAAATACTTTAAAGAAATTACCTTTGAAAAATATAAGCAGGAGGGGCTGTAAACGACAATAAGGCTAGTAGGATGATTTGGTTGCTTAGAATACAGTACAGTTTACAGGCATGTTTCTTTATTTTTATTTATTTTGTTCTTTTTTATTCTTATAGATGTACAGGAGGTGTGTTATGTGTTTGCATTATATGCTATGCAATAGAATAATCGTGGCATTTGATTATGCAGTAGTGGGCGGGGCTGTGCCTCTGGTTGGTCCTAGGGGGTGAGGGGTAGGTGCTGTAGTGGCGGCTGGCTGGGTGGAGGGATGACTGTGGTGGGGCATGGTGGCATTCTGTAGTGATGACTGGAGGGGAACATCAATGGGAAAATTGGATGATAGTAGATATAACATAAATATTAATGAATGATATGTGTGTGCTTTCTGGCTGGTCTTGTTGGAGCTATGACAGTCACTGTGGTGATAATCGGCTCCTTTGGAAAGACATGAGCAGGAAAGTAAACAATCATGATTCTCTAATGGAATGTGAAAAAAAAAAAAAAAATTATATATATAAAAGATAAATAAATAAATAGAGTAAATAAACAGGTATAGGAAACATGCATGTATTCCCATTGGGGTGATGACTCGGGGCATGGCTGTGGAGGGCTGGTGTGTGCTGCCGGGATCATCCTCTGCGCAGTTTGTCTGCTGCTATAGTGCTGCTCGTTGTCTCTGGGACCGGTCGGGGTGAGGTGCTGAGCCCGCTGCGGCGTATCATTCAAATGTGATGCGAATTGGATGAATTATTATTTTTATGAAACATTATGATTTATCATAATATACATGGGGTGGGAGTTTATACAATACAATACAATACAATTTATTCTTGTATAGCCCTAGATCACAACAGAAGTCATCTCAGAGGACTTAACAAAACCATTGAAATCACCAACACAGGTCAGAGAATCAACAGTTAAAACACATGAAGAATACAGTATAAAGCACACACAGAAGAAAATGTCCATACATGTTGTAGAATGCTAAAGTGTCCTGATCATCACCAATCCTTTCTGTTGGACACTAACTGTCCAACAAGACCCTCCTGCATCGACAAGGAAAAACTCTTAAAAAACCCAGTGGGAAAAAGTGAGAAACCTTTTTCCCAAACGTATAAACTCGTTTTCCCAACGAGTTTATACGTTTTTTCTTCTTCCCACTCCATTTTCGAGCTCTTGGAGTGTGCTTATGAACAACAAGGCCTATGTGAATATGTAATAGGTGGTTTTATGTTTTCTTTTTTTCTTTTTTTTTCTTCAGGGCACAGGAGCATTAGTGAATCATGTACTGTTCTTGTGCAATGTTGTGGGATGCTTGTTGTGTAAACAAATGTGTAATGTTATGGGCTCGAAAGAAATAAACAAATGAAATGAAATGAAATGAAATCTGAGCAGAGGAAAGGCCGGACCGAGGTTTTAATCGCGAGAAACACAAATGAACAAAATGTCGTGCTTTGGAAGAAGATCGAAGAAGGACAAGCTTATAGAAATTCTTGAATGCCGCGTGATGGTGTTGGAGGAAAAACACCAAAGTCTGGTAGAGGACCTGAAGAGGGAGACGCAACAAAGGTGCGAGCTGGTGAAGACTGAACAGGAAGAGAGTCGACAACAGCAGCAGCAAGTGAGCCTGCTCCAAACAGAAAGGTCTGCCTTAGAGACGGCTCTACTGCAGGCTTCAGAAAGCTCCACTTCAGCCCAACGCAGACTGGAGAATGCTGTCCAGGAGAAGACGGCTCTCCAAGCGGCTTTACTGCAGGTTTCAGAACGCTCTACTTCTACCCAATGCCAACTGGAGAATATTGTCCAGGAGAAGACAGCTCTCCAAGCTGCTTTACTGCAGGAGTCAGAAAGTTCCACTTCTACCCAACGCAAACTGGATGAGGCTGTCCAAGAGATGACAGTTCTCCAAGTGGCATTACTACAGGCCTCAGAAAGCTCCACTTCAGCCCATCGCAAACTGAAGGATGCTGTCCAGGAGAAGACGGCTCTCCAAGTGGCTTTACTGCAGATTTCAGAAAGCTCTACTTCTACCCAATGCAAACTGGAGAGTACTGTCCGGGAGAAGACAGCTCTCCAAGCGACTTTGAGTGAAATCACAGGGCAACTGCAGAAGGCTCATGAGGAGATTCAGGCCTTGAAAGCAGCGAATGCAGAAGATGCCAAACGGTATAATTCGATAATGACCAAGCTCCAAGACGAGAAACGGGTGACATATAAAAAAAACCTGGAGGCGATTGACCTGTTGAACGCTCGTATACTGGACGCCAGCAGCTATGCAGACAAGCTGAGGACCCAGATGCATGAGCAAGAAACAGAACTGAGGACTGAAGCTTCTCAGTTGAAAGAAATGTTGGCCAAGACTCAGAAAGAGTTAGAGGAGTATGATGCAAATTTCCTGATGAAAAACTCTGCGATGGAGGCAGAAGACGCGAAAGTCAAAGCCGAGAATAGAGAGCTTAAAGCTAATATTCTGAATCAGGAAATTCAGCTGAAAAATGTACACGCTGCGTCAGACAAACAGAGACTTCGCACCATTCAAGAGCTGAGGAAGAAGATCGAGCTGAAAGACAAAGTGATCAGCAATCTGACAGAAAACAAAGAGAAGGAGATGTGGGAAAATGTCCAGGGTTCATGTTAAGGTTTTATTTTGTTTTATTATATGTGCATTTATAAGCAGAACTGCTATTGTGATTTGAACCAAATGTTCATATAAAAGTGTTGTGCAGAGAGAGCAGGATGTGAAAGTGTGTGCAGAGAGAACAGGATGTCAGTTGCAACAGTTCCCTGTCTGATAAGACCAACGGAAAGTTTGAAGATGCTTGCACGTTGGGTTGGGGGCGTCACTAAGACGCACCAACTGCACCAGTAAACCTTGCTATCATACTATATATGGCAATGTGTAAAATGTAACCACGCCTACTTTTCTGTGTAAAATAAAAGCTGTGATGCGGAAAAGAGGCTTCGGGAGACATTACTCTGTTTGGGAGATGACTCTGTTTGAGAGATTTCTCTGCTTGCAGTCTAATGGCTGAAGTGTCTTCCCCCGTGATCACGTTAAAACTTGTAACTACAGTGTGCTCTCTGAGTTATTTTGTAGGTACAGGAGTTGGCCTCTAGAGGTGAAACTAGTTTCTGGACTTTTGGTCTGTTTTGGTTTTTGGTCTCTGATATGTCAGTCACTACGCTCGGTGCCTGGTGATAATTTCCTGACATACTTTGGTCCTTCGAAGCCGGATCCAGGGCTCGACGTGGAGGGCGACGACGGGAGATTGGACAAGTGCCTGACCAGGCCCGGATAACACCGGAAAATCCACCTTTCTACGTGGCAACCTCTCCTCGTCGTCCCCTGCGCTGAGAACTGGATCGGTCCCAGCGTAAGACCAACCATCAGCCGAAAAGGTCAGAAACAACTCTTATGTTAGAGTGAAAGATCAGACTTAGCTGTGGACCAGGTTTATGGTGCGAGTGTGCTTTGTTTGAATGGTGAATATTCACACGTTGTGGAAAATCACATGAGCGATCCTTTAGACTCAAGACAGAGTCGGACCGTAAGACCCAAGACAGGGCAGAAGTCACTCAAGACAGAGTGCAACGGACCGTAACTGTTGACCCAAGACAGGGGAAACAGTGACTCAAGACAGAGTCGGACCGTAAGACCCAAGACAGGGTAGAAGTCACTCAAGACAGAGTGCAACGGACCGTAACTGAGACTCAAGACAGGGGAACAGAGGATTCAGGAGCTCATCACATAGCACTGAAACGGCACTAGTCAAAGTCACAAATGACTTACTACTAGCTGCCGATAATGGACATGTGTCAGTGCTGGTCCTACGGGACCTTAGTGCTGCATTGACACAATAGACCACAGCATTCTACTGCTGAGGCTAGAATGTGATATAGGTCTTAGAGGATACAGCCTTGGCTGGTTTAAATCCTATTTATCAGAATCGCGATCACTTCGTCAATGTGATATCAGGACTCCGTCGCCTTATTCTGGAGTGGAATTCGGTGTGCCGCTGGGTTCCGGTACTCGGAACGATTCTTTTTACTCTCTACATGCTGCCACTGGGAAACATTATTAAAAAGCATGGAATTAATTTCCACTGCTATGCAGATGACACACAGCTTTATCTGTCGATGAAGCCTAATCAGACAGATCAGCTAGAAAAGTCAGTGCCTGCATAAAGGACCTTAAATATTGTGGATGACTCTTAACTTCCTACTTCTAGACAACCCGGAGAAGACAGAAGTTATCCTACTCGGTCCGAAGCGCCTGCGTGGGACTCCCTCACTAACCAGATGGATTACTCTCGATAATGTCAGTATAATACCCAGTAACACTGTGAGGAATCTTGGAGTCATTTTTGACCAAGAACTCTCTTCAAGGCTTATATAAGCCAAGCAACTAAACGGCGTACTTCCACTTACGGAACATCGCTAAAATTAGGAATTCCTTCCTAAAAGTGACGCGGAAAAACTCATTCACGCGTTTGTCACCTCAAGGCTCGACTACTGTAACGCTTTACTGGCAGCGTGCCCTAAAGCCTCTTTGAAGAGCTTCCAGCTCGTTCAGATACAGCAGCTAGGATCTTAACAGGTACCAAAAGGAGGGAGCACATAACTCCGGTGTTAAAATCACTCCACTGGCTCCCTGTGGAGTACAGAATAAAGTTTAAAATCCTTACTCTTAAACTATAAAGCCATAAATGGCTTGGCTCCTTCTTATCTCCAAGACACGTTAGTGTCGTATCAACCAGGTCGAGCGTTGCGCTCACAAAAACGCCAGACGTCTGGTGGTCCCTAAGGTCTCAAAGGTCACTGTTGGTGGCAGAGCATTTAGCTACCAAGCTCCTTTACTGTGGAATCAGCTTCCCATTTATGTTAAGGAAGCAGATACGGTCTCCACATTCAAGGCCAGGCTTAAAGCACTTTACTTTAATTTAGCATATAATTAGGTAATATATAATATGTAGTGTATATATTATATATATATGCTGTATTATGTTATATATTATGTTATATATTATTCAATAATGTATTGTGTTATGTTGTATATTATGTTATATATTATGCTGTATGTTATTTCTTTATTCAAGGCTAGGTTTAAAACAGTCCTCTTTAGTTTAGCATATGGCTAGGAAGGTAAGACTCGGAGAAGGTTAAACTCCTCAGATCTGTCTCAGTCAAGCTGCATAGGGAGTCAGTTTGCTGGGAGAAGTATGGTAACTTGAGCACTATCCTCTCCTCCTTCTACTTTATCTGTTTAGCATTTTTAGGATTTGACTGTAGTTTGTTCATTGCTATTCACCCGTTGTCCCATTGTCGTTTCATGGTACGATGACGGGATCTCTGAGCCTGGCCTCTTCCATCTACACCTGCGGACTGCCCCGCCCGACCCGCCTGGGAGTGCTTCGGTCCTGCCCACGGACCTGTCCACGTTCAGCGTCCACTGGTCCACGTTCTTGTAGCTAGCTTAGGTCCTGGATCATTAGCCTGTCCGTCCGGAGGAGCGGATCCCTTTCTCATTATGGGTCTCCCTCCCTGTGGGTTTCCCTAGTTCTCCTCCAGGTATTCTCACTTTTTCCCACTGGTTTCTTGTCGACTTTTTCCCCCAAAAGCTTCAAAAGGGTTTTTTACCATTTTGGTGCTTGGAGCTTTTGACGCGGAGTTGACGCCGGTGGGAGGAGCTTCTCTGTTGCCTGTAGGCAGTGCGGTGGATTTTTCATTGAGCAGCGAGCCTTTATTATGGTTATATAAGCAAAATAAACGTTGATGCTTCAACCAAAAACATGTTCTGGGTTCACAGGACTTGAGAGGCTGCAGTGTTTGAGAGTCCGTCATGTACTCCAGGAGCAGCGTACGGAGGAGTTTCGCTTCAGCAGGTTAATTCGCATGTCACTTGCCGTCTGAGTTCTCAAACACGGGAGCTTGCCTCTCCCTGCCTCTCCCGGCTCTTCGCTCGCCCACTCCATGCCTCTCCGCGGCTCTCGCTCGCCTCCTCCCCGGGCTCTCGTTCGCCTCTCCCTGCCTCTCCCGGCTCTGGCTCGCCCTCTCCCTTGCCTCTCCCGGCTCTGGCTCGCCTCTCTGCCTTCCCCGGCTCTCGCCGCCCGGAGCTGCCTTGCTCTGTGCCGACCCATCGTCAGTGTTCTTATATTAAATAAAATACGTTTCTACACGCATGTGTACAATGATTTTTTGTTACTCAGAATTTTACTACTCATACAAATTATATTACTATTAACAATAAAACAGGAGCAGCAGGATTACATGACTTCTTTCATATAAATAAATAAATAGAGTAAATAAACAGGTATAGGAAACATGCATGTATTCCCATTGGGGTGATGACTCGCGGGGCATGGCTGTGGAGGGCTGGTGTGTGCTGCCGGGATCATCCTCTGCGCAGTTTGTCTGCTGCTATAGTGCTGCTCGTTGTCTCTGGGACCGGTCGGGGTGAGGTGCTGAGCCCGCTGCGGCGTATCATTCAAATGTGATGCGAATTGGATGAATTATTATTTTTATGAAACATTATGATTTATCATAATATACATGGGGTGGGAGTTTATAAGTTTTTTCTTCTTCCCACTCCATTTTCGAGCTCTTGGAGTGTGCTTATGAACAACAAGGCCTATGTGAATATGTAATAGGTGGTTTTATGTTTTATTTTATTTTATTTTTTTATTTTTTTCTTCAGGGCACAGGAGCATTAGTGAATCATGTTCTGTTCTTGTGCAATGTTGTGGGATGCTTGTTGTGTAAACAAATGTGTAATGTTATGGGCTCGAAAGAAATAAACAAATGAAAATGAAAATAATTATTAGTATATTTTCCTGGATTCACTGGGGAACACCTGTCAGATGTTGTTGAAGGATTATATGGTTTATATTTTGTGTAATGGACAGAACAAAACAGGAGTGTCCAGAAGAACCCTGTGCAGTGTTTATATGTTTGGCTTCTCTGGGACTTATTTATTCATAAAAAAATAAAAATCTTACCATCCAAATGTTCATATCATCCAATTGATCATTATAACAATTCTCATAGTTGTACTGCAATGTTTTGACACCTTTCAAAACTGCCATTAGCCTCCATGGTATATAGCCTTGGTGTGTGTGCAGGGTGGCAGCAGGCGGCAACTTCCTCTATGGACGAGGAGAGAGCCATTAAAGTTGTGTTAAAGTATGTGGTGAACTGTTATTTCCCTCAAGGCAATTGTTTTCTTTAGTAGCTTAATACATGCTTCAATAGAGACATTTAATCCTTAATAATAATAAATGTCACGTTCATTCAGATCTTTCCTTGGTGTATGCACCTTTGTTTCCGTAAGAGCATGTTGTTTACTTCACAAGTTATCTTCAGTGGTTTAGCTGTTGTATCGACGACACTACAATTATTCAATTGCATTCTGAAATATGAAGATCAAAGCAAAAGATGGACAATATTCTTATAGTTAATGCTATTAATACACACTTGTATTGTTAACTTAATCCTTATGCTGATGGCAACCAGTCCAAAAGTGTGAGTAAGTGCTTACATAGGAAATTGTATTTTAACAAGCATACTGTGGGAGCACAAAGGAGCCACTGACACAATCGGCAAAGATATCTGCAAGTAAAGAAAAGCGGAGTACAATAAAAAGATATGGGGTAAATTAAAAAACTAGGGTTTTTTTTTTTTTTTTTAAATAAAAGTATAATGTTGTGAACAAATCACAATGTGGTGCCTTTCTGTTATTAGAAAACCGAAAGAAAAACATAATATATTGCAAACATATAATGTGAGTCACTGTTTGACACTTTGAGCTGAGAGCTGATTGGCTGATCGAGGGTGGTTCTCTGTTTCTCACTTTTGCGTCTGATAAACACCTAATTGACGGATGCAAAAACACACATGTGGACACTTTGTTTGTGGTTTGGGTCCTAAAATGTACAGATATTTAGCATAGCATTTATCCAATTTCTCGTATTACACAAAAATGTGTATTTACTTCATCATCTTTCAAAGCAGATCATTTTGAACCACTGAAGAGGCGCACCCCACAGTCTAAGGGAAAATATGAAGGGGTTTTATCTATATTCAAATTCACAAAAGAGTCTCTCAAGGCTCTGTCTGTGTGATGATGAGCATGGCGTTTGCCTTGATGGTTTGTGCACTGAGTGGGGGTCTCCAGGGCTTGACATGGGCTATAGGGCGGGTCAGTTGCAGGGGGCCAGCTGGTCAACATTATTATGCTGACTTCTATTATGCATTGTGCTATTGATCCCTCTCTGTTCGAATCCGCAGGGTGAACCCAGATAAGCAAGACCAGAGATTGCTAAGAATACAGAGGCAGTTTCTGGAACGATACATTTGACGTTAAAGCCAATGATTTGCTTCAGCCATTTCCAA